GCGACGAGGTGTTGAGGTGATGAAGTGAAACGCCCGTCTTGGGACCGTCTTGGGGCCGTCTTAGGACCTATGTATCCCTTGCCCTCACACTTATGAGCACGCCTTCGGCTGTATCCCGCACCTCAATGTGCTCGTACATGGCGATTGTTTTCCACATATACGATCGGTTTTATGTATCGAGCTCATGCGTTTCAACTATCGGCCACTGCATAGGCCTACGCAGGTCCAAACATAATTGCGTTGTTTTCAGGCACGCGCTGTATGTTTCCAGGCACGCGGTGTTTTTTTTTTTTTTTTTTTTTCCATGCACACGTTGTATGTTTTCAAAGCAAGCGTTGCATGTGCCACGTTTTGCATATAGCATGCTGGCTTATTTTCCAAGCACACGTTACTTGTATTTGTAGACACGCTATGTATGTTTATAAAGCCAGCGTTGCATGCGGCGCGCTTTACATGTAGCACGTCAATATATTTCCCAAGCGCACCTTGTATGATTTTCAGACTCAATGTGCATGTTTTTTTCACTGGTTTGGGCCCGTTGCGAGTTCACCTATGCAATAAATGATTACGTTTTAAGTGGCGGAATCGTTCTTTTTCAGTATTGTCATCTGATTATTCATACAGCGCGCCCTGATGCGCGCCAATCGGCTCATGGCCGCGACGTTGCTCTGGAGTCACCGTCTGTGGGTCCAGAGCACGACGGGCGCCCCTCTGGAAGTAAACGGTTTGGGGTTCCCGAGCGCGGTTCTGGGGCCGCCGTTGTCAGGGCGAGACAGATCCCCAAATGTTTAATACATGTTCGCTCCGTGGAAAGCACTGTAGTAGCGGGGGGTCAAAAAACCTTAAGTTCTCTCTTGTAAATATGCTTCCTTGTCTCATACATTGTTATTCGTTCTTTCTTAGGCACGTGAGTCTTCAACTAGGCGCCGTCGACAAGTGCAAGTGCGAGTGTAAGTGTAATTGTAATTCTAGGTATAATATGCATGAAAGCGTGTGGACGTGCGTGCCAGTGTATGTATGTGTGTAAGCGTTTGGAAATGTGTGTATATGTGCGTAGGCGTGTGGAAGAGTGTGACCACCTTCCTTGCACTTGGCGCCCGTTTGAAGCTGTTTTTCGGGGACCGCCAGAGATAGCCCGGGTTATCGGGCTCGTTCCAGTCCTCCCCGAGCATAATCTAATTTGGTCGGTTGTGTAGGTCCAGGGAAGGTCGCAGTGAACACGCAGGGAGCGTCGTGTTCAACGGCGCGGTGGCGCGTTCGCAACAGCATTATAGTCCTTGGGTTCACGTTGGTGAAACGTTGGGGCTTGGAGTGGTAGGGGGAGACGACGATGATCATGACGATGACGACGACGATGACGAAGAACGAAGACGGCGACGACGACGACGACGGCCGACGTCGTCCATGTGCATCCGGAGGTGCACGTGAGCAGCGCGTACACAGGCATTGCGTTGTGCACAGACAGCGAGGCGATTTGATGCATGCATTGGTGGCTGCTGCAGCAGGATCTGTTGTGTACACAGGCGTTGTGGCACACGCAAGCATAGGTGCACGCAGGCCGCGCGGTGCACGCGGGCATCGTGATGCTCCCAGGCACCTTGGTGTACACAGGCTTTGTGGTGCACACAACTGTTATTGCAACAGCAGTAAAGGTTCACTCAGGCATCCCAGGCATGGTGGTGTGCAGAATCACTGTGGTGCACGGCAAGTTCGGTGTACCATACCTTGTAGTGTACACAGGCGCCGCGGTGTGCGCACCCGCTGTTGTACACACAGTCGTTTTGGTGCTGTGGTCTACACAGGCGTTGTGAGACCAAACGGCGGGACCGCTTCCTCCGCTTAAGAAAATTGTAGCATACATGTTGGATGTGATACGTTTGGAGCCATACGATATTCCGAACTTCGGTTCCGCTGGGGCCTTGGAAGTGTACGCATTTCTGTGGTGTCCACGAGCACTCTGGTGCACCAGAGCTGTGGACCACAAACAGGGTGCTGAAGAAGCAACCGTGGTGCACATAAGCGGTGCAGTGTTGTACACAGGCGCTGTGGTGTACACAGGTGCTGTGGTACACACGACTGCTGCAGTGTACACAGGCATTGTGGTGTACACAGGCGTTGTGGTACACACGACTGCTGCAGTGTACACAGGCATTGTGGTGTACGCAAGCACTCTTGTGCAGACATGCGCCGCGGTGTACACAAGCAGCTGTTGTCTGCAAAAGCGCCGTGGTGTGGTGTACACTAGACAGGCACTGTGGTGTACACAGACATGGTCGGCCCAAAACGGGGGGACCTCACCCCAGTCCAGGAACATCAATAATCACAACTATCTTACCGATGGTTTTTTTGATGCGGTCGAACCCCCAGCGATTTTCCAGATTTGAGCTCCGCCGGGACCCTCCAGGTGCACGGAAGCGTTGTGGCATAGATGCTCGCCATGCGTTGTGGTGCGCGCGGCTCTTGTGGTGTGCGCAAGCATCGGCGTGTTCACAGGCGCTGTTGTGCACGCGGCTGCTGTAGTGTACACAGCCATTGTGGTGCACACAGGCACTGATGTCTAGACAGGCGCTGCGGTGTACACAAGGAGTTGTGGTGTACACCGACATGGTCGGCCCCCAACGGCGGGGCCGAACCCAGGGCCAGAAAATACAAGAATCACAAGTAACTTACCGATTGAATTTGATACGTTCGGGCCCCCGGGAATTTTCGCGATTTGGGCTCCGACGAATCCTTGGAGGTGCACGGAAGCGTGGTGGCGCAGATGTTCGCCATGCGCTGTGCGGCGACCCTCTCCAGGCAGGTTTGCGGCATTCTGGCTGTCTCCTCCAGACAGAGGATGAGCGGAGCGGATGGGCACGCAGTGCATGATGGCGGTCCAGAAAAATACGGGGCAGTGGGGATTCGATCTGACATTTTTTTCTCTCCCGATGGGGAAGGTTTTGGACACAGGGCGATCAAAGCACCCCGATGACGACGATGACGCCCACGAGCAGGCCCAGGACACAGTTTAGGAATCATCAGGGCGCTGCTGCTTGACGCCCCCCCGAAGCAGTTACCGATCGTCATCTTGCAGTTTCTTGAAATTGGAAGGTCGTCGCGTCGTTCAAGCTTTCTCTCGAGCAGTGGCGAAGCGTCCCGGCTCGCCTATAGGCCCACCACAGAACGTTCTGAGGACCTTTTGTGGTCTGTGCCAAATGTTATTAAATCATTTCTGGCTGGGGCTGTCTTGTTTTAACACGTCGGGTCTATGCTCTGAGAACACTGCTCGTGTTCTTAGAGCACTAAGAACATTGCGTGGTAAGCCTTCATATAAGGTTGCCGGGACGGTCGGCCCCTGCTCGATTCTCGCCTGTCTAGGGAGCTGCCAGGAAGCTGGATTTACACACCCGACGCGGCTGGCCACGGCGAGAGCTGGAGACGCATCTCCGGCTACGGATCATCATTCCGACGTTGGGCTTTTCGATGGCCGTGAAGGCCAGGATTCCGCCTGCGTGTGCAGCGCGCGCTGCCACGCAGGCGACCAATGCGTCCAATGTGTGGTCGGCCGCTCTGCCGATTGGAACGCGCGCGCCTTCGGTGCCAGCGGATGCCCGGAGAAGACAGTGTCCTGTAATGTTCCATGGGCCGTCGCATCTGCACTTGTGCGACCGCCGTCGGCTGCGGCGTGTCGCTCCGCCCCCCCCTTGCCACCCCGCCTGGGTGAGGGTAGGGGTATCTTTCGCGCTCGAAAAGCGCTCGGCCTCCAGACGTTCAACGTTTGTGGGCGCGGGCAGGACTTGCGACCGATCGACAGGGCACGCGCCGATGTGGGTTTCATGTTGGGCCCCCGGGGGTGCCCAGAGATTCCTCGTGTTCCCCGCCCTCGCCCCCGCAAGCATTAGGTCGGGCATGTCCCCCCGACAGGGGGATTTGGGGTGGAAAATCAAAAAAAAAAAAAAAAAAAAAAAAGAGAGAGAACGAACATATACAAATATAGCAAACAAATGGTTTAAACAAATCGTCCCCATCTTATTTTCCCACCTATTTTTGGATGTTCCTCCTGTAGAAGGTCACTCCCGATTCAACACAAACAGCGCCTGACTCTGGCCTGCGCGCGGATGGGTCCAACCGCTTCGCTCCCGCTCCTGGGTGCGGTGGGGGCTTGCGTTCCAGGAGGCTGTCGGACCTGGAGGGCTCCCCGAGGGCAACCATAGGGGGGGATAGGCATAGGGGGGACGCATCGACCCCCAATCGCCCATTGATCGCCGCTGGGGGCCCGATAGCCCCAACCTGCCCAGAGCGGTGCGGATTCACCATCGGAGGCATATCGCCGATCTATCGGCGATGTATCGCCGATTCCAGGTCGATGCATCCCCCCCTATGCCAGTCCCCCTCTATCGTTGCCCTTCAGCTCCTTATATGAGGGGGGCAGAGGGGTCATCTGTGGTCGGTCCACGATTGGAGTTCCATCGGCCTCCACACCCTGGATATTCCTGATCCACTGGCTCTCTATCTCCAGGAGGCTTTCGGACCTGGAGGGCTGCTTATCTGAGGGGGGCGATGGGTCATCTGTGGCCGGTCCACGATTGGAGTCCCATCGGCCTCCATACCCTGGATATTCCTGATCCAGTGGCTCCTTATCTCCAGGAGGCTTTCGGACGTGGAGGGCTCCTTATAGGAGGGGGGCGGTGGGGTCATCTGTGGCCGGTCCACGATTGGAGTTTCATCGGCCTCCACACCCTGGATGTTCCTGATCCCATGGCTCCCTATCACCAGGAGGCTTTCGGACCTGGAAAGATCCTTACATGAGGGGGGCGATGGGGTCATCTGTGGCTGGTCCACGATTGGAGTTCCATCGGCCTCCATACCCTGGATATTCCTTGTCCGCTGGCTCCCTATCCACTGCCCTGACCGTGCCTGCGCCAGCCGCCGCGTGCCCTCTCCCTCCTCGCCCCCACGAGGGACGGAGGGGCGATGCCTGAGAGAGAAAGAGAGCGAGCGCGCCGCACCACGCGGGTGAGGCCCGGCAGCGGCGAGGACCAGGACCTGGTGCGCAACGCCGTGCTCGCGGTGGACGAGAAGGTGCACTTGTGCGCGGAGGAGGAGGAGGAGAGGAGAAGAAGAGGAGGAGGAGGAGGGGGAGGAGGAGGAGGGGGGAGGGAGGAGGAGGAGGAGGAGGAGGAGGAGGGAGGAGGAGGAGGAGGAGGAGGAGGAGGAGGAGGAGGAGGAGGACCACCTCTCGGGCCCAGACCGCCGCGAAGCGAGATGCCTTCGGGTCCCTGCTCCCAGGCGGCACTTCATGGGGGGGGGCTCACGAAGGGGGGCGGGAGATGCCGATGCCGCTGCGGGTCCTGGCGGGCCCTCGTCGCCACGGCGGGATTCTCCTTGAGGTTTTCGGGTGGGAGTGCGCCCCGGGGAGGGGTCCGGGGAGCAGCGGTATCGATGTCCTTCCTCCTGCTCCCCCAAAGCATGGTCATGCATCAAGGCATCAAGGCGCGAACAAAGGCAGGGCCTAACTACGTATTTCGATCCGATGCGATCTTGATTCTGGCTGGCCCGATCCAATCGCCCTGACAGTGCGAGGCGACCCGATGATTGCGCGGCGTTGTTGCGTTCCTTGTCGCAGCCGATCCGATCCGATTCCGACCCGTGCCTATGCAGCCCGATCTGATGCAGATTCCATGTCGGTCCAGTTTTCCGGCCCGATGTTGGACGATGGGTTTTTGGAGAGTGGATTTGGCGAGCGTGCGTGACACGAGAAGGTGTTGTGTACACGTGTCGAGGCTGTCGTTGCTTGGCTCGGTCTCAAAGTTGCTTGGGCTCTCAGATCGCGAATGCCAGGTCTGCGCTCCTCTCTGAGATTGCTGCGATCAGGGTAGAGGTTCCCACTGCCAGGCCCTTGACGTCGCGGTTTATTCGCGTGGACCCTCGGAGGTCTCGACGTTTACCCCGTGGGAAGCTTTTCATCTCGAGTCGCTTTTTGACGACCTGGGGGCTTGGCGGAAGAGGCGATAGCGCAATCCGGGACGCTTACTTGAGGTGCGCTGTTTTAGTTGAAGACTAGTCCAACACCCGTCAATCGGGGGAATGTAAAACTCGAGTAAGCCGGAACTCGGGTTTGCCGACGTTTTTTGACGAGCGCGTCCTGGATTTTGACGGTCCAGTTTTCGCGGGATGATATTTGCAGCGGGACCTCGCGTCAAATTTCAGATTGGGTCTCGTCTTTTGCATGATGGCCCCGTCAGGCCAACCCGAGTCCCCCGTACCCGAGTCCTACGTCTCCTCGAGTCAAGCTTGATCGTCAACGTCACTATTGTAAGTTGTTACGTGAGCTTCGCAGCTTTGCCAGCATATTCTTGATGGCATAATACCCCACAGTTTGGTGATGTGGTGTCACTCCCATGGATTGGCTTCGTCTTCCTGCGGCTCCGACTGGTCGGGCGTTGGAGTTTGTTCGATGCCGTGGAGACATGGAGACCATCTTCCCGGAGGGATCGCAGCGGCCCACGTGGTGTCAGGAAACCATTTGCCGAAGCCGTCCTGACAGTCGAAAAGGATCATGAGGGTGCTTTGCTTTCCAAGGGCGCATTTCCATCCTTGCATCTTCGGCACATCCTCAGCCACTATCGCTGGCCAGTCTTGATCAAAAGGGATCAGCTTAGGCGTCCAACGTCCTTGCATCCTTACCGCGCGCTCCTGTGATCCTGTCGCACTGTATACATCAACTTTCGGAGGTCCGCGCGGATTTCTTGGGTCAGCGCTGGACCGCCCCTCCCCTGTTGCGCGGAGCGTGCCAGAGTCGGCGCCGTAGGCGCTGCCAGCGCTGACCCAACAAATCCGCCTCCGCCAGTGCCTCCGAATCAAACAGGCACTGAGGCGACAGCACGATTCCGGAATCAATTGCCAGGAGGCTTCAGGCGAATGGGTGGCCGGACTGGGCGATTTGAGGGGGGGCGGTCTCGGGTTCCCAGCTCCCCCTGTGGGACTCTTCTGTGATTTTCCTTATACCACCACTCCCAGAACCCCCACGCCATGACTTTTTCATGACGTCGACCCCCGAGGTCTGGACCTATTCCTCGGAGCCGGTTTTCATCCGGGAGCTTCCTTGGACGGCCCCCGGCAGGGGCCCCCAGAGGCCGAACATAGCGAAAAACTGTCCGTTGTGATTTTTCAGGACTCGAGGGGGCCTTGGGCTAGAATTAAGTCGGGCCTGTCCCTCTACAGGAGGAATAGTTTTTCAAAAATAGGCATACACAACAAAAAACGGTGAAAGATTTTGATAGTATTTTGTGAATAAGTTTGAGCACGGTTTGACTCTCCTTTTTGTTCGTCGAAATCCCCCTCTAGGCTGACACGCCCGACCTGAGGCTAGAACCGTCCAGCGAGGCGGTGTTTGGGCAAAGCTCGCTCTGCTCCGGCGAGCGCCTGGCCCGCGCGCGGGCCCCTGCAGGCGCGCCCCCCCCTCGCGCCCCCGCGCGGGGGGCGGGCGGGCGGCCGAGCGGGCGGCCCGCGCTGAGGCCGGCAGGATCGGAGGGAGCCCCTCCTCGGGAGCCCTGCGACGGGTTGTCGACGCAAACGAGTGCCAGCCAGAAGCGGCAAGGATAATGACGACGACTGGCGACTGGAGCTCCACGCGTTGCTCTCGCGCGCCACGCGCCACGAGGACCTCCTGCTCATGCGGGCGCCGCGGGTCGAGTTCTTCCTGGCAGGGCCGCCCGTGGGCTTGCGGATGCAGCTGGGGCCGTTTGCGGCACGCCCGTTCTCGCAGGATCCTGCAAGGGCAGGGTCACATTGACCTGGACTTGGGCACAGGATCCTGCAGGATCTGGCAGGATCCTTCGCATCGGCCCAGGTTTGGGCGGATCTTGCAGGACTCTGCACGGCCTGACTGACCCGGGTCTGGATTGACCCGGGTCAGAAGATCTCCGACCTTCGGGCGTCGCGTAGAGGGGGGGGCGAGAGGTCGAAGGACGTGAACATAAACTTTCGGCGCTCCGCGCGGATTTCTTGCATCGGCGCTGGGCCCCCCAAGGAGAAGGTCCAGCCAGCGCCAGTGCAGAACAAAAACCGCGCGGTGCACCGAACGTTTATGTCTGTGCCGTTTTAGGTTCGTGACTCCAGAGCAATGGGGAGGGATCGATAAATGCAGGGGGGCGGAGAGAGGCGCACCTCTTGTCGCCGGGCGCGTTTCACTATTCGCATAGTGCCTTATTCGCAAACGTCCGACAAGCACAGGCTTTCCTCTGTGTAATATAGCGTAAATCCCCCGCGGTGGATCCAGGCCATTTGCGAGTTGTTGATTTGCGAGTAGCGGGAGGCGCTTGTCCATCTTGTGCCCGAAATAGGGTTCCAAGGGACACAAGAGCACGAAGGGTGCACGCTTCTCGCCCCCCCAGCAATCGCCCCCCGCGCGTTCACGCCCGACCGGGCCGGGCAAGCCGGGCACGCCCAAGGTTGCACAGGAGTTATTGCATAAACGCGCGCTGGCGGAACGCGGCTCGGATGTCTTGGATCGGTGCTGGGCCCCCCTGTTTGGCGCGCGCCGCGCGGAACTTCCGCAGTAAATGCTCGTCCTCCACGCAACGGGGCTCTTCCTCGAGAAACCGATATTCCTGGCTTTCGGGAGGCGGTGGAAGTGGATATAAAGAACACGGGATCGTCCTCCACGGCAGCCTCTTCCTTGAGAGTCCGACATTCCGAGTTCTGGGGAGGCGGCAGATGCGGATATACAGTGCACATGATACGCGTACGATGAGACATGACGTTGGTCGATCTTTGAGGACCTATACGGTGCCCCAGAGCTCCCGTGGGTCTCCAGGGCCATCGGAAGAGAAAAGTTGTCCGTGAAGCACCTGCTTGCAAGCCGGTGTCTTACTTCATTGAACGCCCATGATGGGGAGTCATCTCCGCCCCACGTTTTTTTTGACACGTGGAGACTTTGTGAACTCGGAGTAAGAGGGGGGCAATCGCAACGGCCCCGATGTGCGAGCGGCGGGGTCAAAGACGGCCCCCGAAGGTTCGCCCAAACCCCCAAAACTGTCCAAGAGGGCCCCGCGAGGTTCCACAAACAGACCCCACCAGAAGGTGTCGAACATGGCAGGCGAACGCGGAGGCCAACAGGAGCTGCACGAGTTAGTTTGGGGCTTCGGAGGACCTTCCAGGGACCCCCTGGGCGCGCCCAAGACGGCTCAAGAGGGATTCAAAAGGGCGGCCAGATGGCCCAAGATGGGACTGAGAGGCCTTCACGACGGCTCGACAGGCTTTGGAGATATTCCAAGGGGGCCGGAGAGGCCCCAAGAGTGCCACAAGAAGCTGCACGAGAGATCGAAGAGGCGTAAAGAGAGACGCCTTGAAGGCGAAAATCATCCAAATCTGCAGGGTTTTGAGGGTTTTTGACATCCTCGGGTTTTCGGCTCAACTTGACTCGAAAAGGGCGTCGGAAGGGCCCGAGATGGTTCCAGAGGGCTTTTGGGACGGGCCAAATGAGCCCAACAGGGCCCCAAGAGGCTTCAAAGAGTGCCTGGGAGGGCCTCCAGAGAGGTCCCGAACGGCGCCCGGAGGCGTCCAGAAGCCTTCCGTGCGATTCGTGCTTCAGTTGAGGGCAAAATGGCGGCCAGCGGACGCTCGTTGTGCTGCCAGGGCCCCCAGGCCAGCGGAATGAGCAGGCCGCGGGGAGGATCCCAGGAGGAATTGCTAGGATTCCGTGGGTAAGACGAATGAGGGCAAGCAGTCCTCACATATTGTGCGGCAGGGATCTCACACACTGTAACCACTGGGGCGGCGGATCGCTTCGCTTTTTTCGCCAGCCTATATTGTATCACAGGTGCTATGTGTTGGTGTGCTCGTGGCCTGGCTGGGCCGTCTTGGGCGCTCGGAAACCCGAAAAGGCTGTGACGTCAAATTTGTCCCCAAACCTACAGAACATCAGGTAAATGTAGCCAGGGCATGTCTGGGAGCATTTGAGGCTCTCCTGGGATGTTTTTGGGGGCCATCTTGAGGCCTGCCACCTATTGATCCCGACTCTTGGGCCCTCTTGGAGCTTCCTTGGGGCGCTCCTGGAACTCTCCCGAGGACCCCGAAGGCCGCCCCCGGGAGCTCCCGCATCCGCGCTGCCGACCGCCCTGGGGTTGGCCAGGGATCGCCTGGAGTAGTTTTCGTCCAGGGACCCCCAGGGCTCGCTACACGCGCGCGAGCTATAGACCTGTTCCCGAAGATTTTTGCACGCTTCTGGCCCGTTGGGCCGGCAAATTTGACGTGCCCATTGTACTCCGGCCCCATGGTAGGGGAACGAACAATGACATAAACATCAAAATTCGGAGGTCTGCGCTGGTTTCTCGGATCGGCGATGGGGCCCCCTAGCGGCGCCTCCGGCGCCGCCCCTGGCGCGCTGCGCGCGCCAGGGAGGAGGGGTGCAGCGCCGATCCGAGAACTCCGCGCGGACCTCAGAGTTTTTATTTTTATGTCATTGTTCGTTTCCCTACCTGGGGGGCCCAATCATGTCTGTATCCACCGCCCCCCTGCGGCATCAGGAAGATCGGCTCCCCCGGGCGGTGGATAGGAATTGATCCCAGAGCTTCAAGGCCGAGTTTCATCATACCGTCGAGACGCTGAAAGAAGGACTACCTTGGGCTCAGGGGGGGCTCTCATTGTCGGGGGAGGGAGCCGACTCGCGGCCGAGGCTCGCCGTGGCCAGAAAAGCCGCTCCGTTTCTTCTTCGGCGTTCCTTACTGCAGCACCGGTGACTGCATCGTCGGAGATCTGGCTCCACCGCCTCCCGAGATCCAGGCAGATCGGTCCCTCGGGCGGCGGATGTGCACGGAGCCCCACCTCGCAGGAGTCGGCTTGGGCTTGCCGGAGATCTCTCGAAGGGCTTCCGGAGCGGCCCCCTGGCGCGTGCCGAGCCCCGCCCGCGGCCACTGTTCCGCTCCCGGCGTGCTGGGCCCAGGAGGAGGAAGAGGAGGAGGAGGAGGAGGAGGAGGAGGAGGAGGAGGAGGAGGAGGAGGAGGAGGAGAGGAGGGAGGAGGAGGAGGAGGTACGAGAGGAGGAGGAGGAGGAGGAGGAGGAGGAGGAGGAGAGGAGGAGGGAGGAGGAGGAGAGGGAGGAGGAGGAGGAGGAGGAGGAGGAGGAGGAGGAGGAGTACGAGGCCCAGGAGGAGAGGAGGAGGACGAGGAGGGAGGAGGAGAGGAGGAGGGGGAGAGGAGGAGGAGAGGAGGAGGAGGAGGACGAGGAGGAGGAGGGAGGAGAGGAGTGAGCCTCCTCCTCCTCCTCCTCCTCCTCCTCCTCCTCCTCCTTCCTCCTCTAGGACCCGCTCATCTCAGGACTCGCTTCCCTCATTCCAAGAAGGGCAGAACTGAGGGAGAAGAGGAGGATCAGGGCAGAGAGATGAAGAAACAGCGGCAGGAGGGGGAGGAGGGGTGACTAGGGACGAGGATGAGACGTAATTATAGGCCGTAATGAGGAGAAGATGTGGCGGATGAGGAGGAGGAGGAGGAGGAGGAGGAGGAGGAGGAGGAGGCGGAGGAGGAGGAGGAGGAGGAGGCAGATGATGAGGAGGATGAGGAGAAGAGCCTACGGTAACTCCTGATCTCCTCAGGGCTTTTGGTTCTCTTTCTTGCAGTGGAAGTCCATGCCAAGAAACACCTTGCTTGCCTCCAGGGTGCCCTGTGTTTCTGGGGTTTCGATGGTTCTGCTATGGAAAGCGTGACGTTCCCACACCAAAAGTCCGTGGACGCCCTGGGGTCTCAGGGTTGGGTTTCTTGTGGAAAGTTTCTTGTGGTCGAGCTCTACCGTCGTGCGCGCGCTGGGAAGCGAGCTTGCAAGAGGTGCGTGGCACTTCCGAAGCTCGCTCCGATGACCTGCTGCCTGCAGCAAGTCGCTGTATTACATACCCCGCCAGGTGTTACCTGCGATCGTGTACGTGCGCCAGGACAGCGGCGTCCCTTCTTGCTTGCCTCCGTGGCGGAACCTCATCCCCATGTTACTACTTATCCTCTTCCTCCCACCGTTCCTGTCCCTCCTCGTCCTACTCCTCTGCCTTCCTCAGCGCTCGGATGATGGCGGCGTGGCGGAACGTAGCTCATCACAGATGCGTCGTCTCCTCGTCTCTCTCTCGCCCGCCGGGATCCTGAGGCAGCCTGTTCCCCGAGCCCCGCACGCATAGCAGGCTCAAGCCGCAGGGTGCCGTTGCATCCATCCTTCCAGCTAAGCCCGTGACCTCGGGTGGTTATGGAGAGGACATGATTGGCGATCCGAGCGGTCGTGGAGGCCCATGTCAAAAGCGTCGCCCCCATTGCGTCGGCCCTCGGTTTCCTGCCCGTGGTGCCGAGGAGCTCGCAGGACCAGCCGGCCAACGTGTTGGCCAACATGCCGGCCATGGAGAGATGAGTCCGGGCAGCATCACACAGATGGAGGAGCAGCACGAGGCCGTGGTGATCCCGTCCGTGTGCAAGACACGGGCGGAGGAGGGGGCTTTGACGCGTCCCTTGAACTACCTGAGAGCCGCGCACCCCGCGAGCGTTTTCTTGGTGCAGTTGCCAGAGCGGCTGGATGCCGAGCTGACCAAGAGCTACCTCCGTAGATTGGTGGTGCGGCAGGATTGCGCTCTACAGCTTTGGGGCGACTGGCGTGCTGATGGAGTTGGAGGTTGTCCCGGAGTGTTTGTTGAAGAAGGTACGTCTGGAGTGTATTGAGAACACCGCGGTCCAGCTGCGCGCGCAACGCTACGAGAGCACCTTGAGTGGGAGCATTTTCTTCCAACGAGTGCCAGACCATCGAGGACGAACACGACAGGCTACTCTGGGAGACCATCCCGATGTTGCTGCTCGGTTTCCCCCTCTCTCTAGACGATGGCTTGCTGGAAGGGGGGGAACAGGTTGGGGAGTTCCAGCTGGTGCAGCAGTACGCAAACCATCAGCACGTCTTGTTGGCGGTTGACGGGCAGCACAAGACATCGTGATCAAGATGCGCAACAAGCGCCGCCGCTTGTCCAGGGACGACGCCCTGGACTGCACCGCCCAGGTTGCGAGTGTTCTGTCTTATTGCCACGCCAATGGTGTCACTCACGGGCAGGTGTCGCCGAGGCACGTGCCAGTAGGGATGGCGAGGATTGGGCTCGTTTGCCGCGTGGACTTCAGCATGGCAGCGCACGCCAGCACGCGGAAGACCGTGTGCGGCGCTCTCCCGTGCATCGCTCCGGAGACAGCGCTGAGGAGCCGTATTGGCCCAAGCTGGCAGACTGCTGCAGCCTAGGGGTGGTGCTCCTGGAGGCCGCCTGCTGGCAGGGCTCGCTCGAGCTGCCGGCGCGCTGACGCCATGGCGCATCCCTCGCGCAGGCCACGCGGGAGATGCTCGAGTTCTTCGCCCAGACCGACTCCCATGCCCAGGCGATGGCGAGCGTGGGCGGAGTGCACGACGGTACCGCGCTGGCGTGCCTGGAGGCCCTGCCGACGCCCGAGCCCCATCCGCAGGGCGAGCCCCTCCGGCGGCGTGGAGGTGCTGCTAGCCAGGCGCGCGTAGGCCCCTCGCTTCGGGTCGGACGAACATGGGGGAAGAACGGATCTCCATTGTTAACGCTTCGCATATCCCCACCGACCCTAGCTTTGCCCGGCTTTCGACTTGCTTTGCGAGCCCGCGGACCAAGAAGTGTCTCCTCTGGCCCATCCGGACACGATGCCCAGCGGAGCTGGTGCCCTTGGCCGCAATGGCAGAAAAACGCTGCGATATAAAAAAAAAACATCTTGTCGGAAGTCTGGGTCTCCGTCTCTGTCTCTGTCTCACCGTCTCTCGTGCCCGAGGGGGAGGGGTCGTGGGTCGTTGCTCAGAGGGGGAGTGGTTTCACCCGGGCCGTCCGACGCCGCGGAGGAGCTCAACGACGTGCTGCTCCGGCTGCTCAAAGGAGGGGCCTCCGGGCGGCTGCTGGCGATGACCAAATCTAGATCTCCGACGATACGTTTCTTTCAATCCTGGCGTTCTTCCTCGATTTCGGCCCCTGGGGCCGTTATCGGGCCCCAAAAACCATCAAAAGTTGATCTGGGACGAAAATCTAATCCTCCCAAGTGGGGTCCGACTAGATGGGGCCGGACGATGGGCCATACGGCTCGATGCTGCCTCGACGATGCGGCGCCATCCTCCGACCCCATCTACTCGGACTCCGTTTTGGGGAGGCCCCTAGAAACGACTACCCCCCGGTGGGTTTCCCCGAAGGGCTCTGGCGACCCGTCCTCCTCCGCCTCCTCCTCCTCCTCCTCCTCCTCCTCCTCCTCCTCCTCGGGTCGCCCACGGCCCCGGGGGAAACCATGCACCCCCAGGGGCTCACCCTGCCGCATGGGGCAGACCACGAGAGTGGAGCCCGCCGTGTGCTCGGGAGCGAGCCGGCACGCCGGCGGGGAGGGGATTGGCGGCGAGGAACGGGGAAGGCATGCACAGCAGCGCACTTGGGCTTCAACGTGGGCGCTGAGATTCGCACGCGTACACACACAAGGTACGAGTGACACACACACACACACACTTTTTGCGTCGGCGGCTGGGCAGACGGTGACAGCTCCGGCGGAATGGCAACAGGGGACACGCTGTATGCAAATTGAGGTCGCAATGCACGGAGGAGGAGGAGGAGGAGGAGGAGGAGGAGGAGCCCTGGCGCGACTGGGGAAGAGGAAGCCAGGCCTCTCAGAGTTTCCGACTGCGGCCGGGGGGAGCGCCGAGGTGGAAGACCAGCGTTCAAACACACACACACACATACACACGCACACGCACAAGCACACTCAGAGGAGGGCGAGTTGAGACAACGGTAGTTGGCCTTCGGGGGGGGCCCTCGTCGTTCTGCTGGATAAGACTGGTGAGTTGGGACCCCAGGAGGTGTCCAGAGACCGCATTTGAGGTGTCGTTGTTTTAACTCCCCCTGCCCCAACACACACACACACACTCTCTATCTGTCTCTCTCTCTCTTTCAATTCCCGCGGCCCAGTGAGCCGCCAATCGAGCCGTGCCGTGGCGAATGCCAACACGGCCCGATGGAAAGAGCAGCGGACCACTGAAGACTGCAGACGCGCCCTGCCGGTCGTCAGGGGAGGGACAGGGCACGAGCCGAGCCCCACGTGGCCTCGGGAGCGAGCCGCTGTGGAAGGAGCAGGGGGGGGTCCAGCGCATCGTGCGTCGTGCAAGAGATGCGCAGGAGACGGTCCGAGCCCCCGCCGACGCCCAAGCGCCGCAGGGGGGGCAGGGGGCAAGGGCGGCCGCAGGAGGGACACGGAGGAGCGGAGCCCAGGGCCCGAGGATTCCGCAGGCGCAGGCCAGGGATACCGCACCAGTGCCAAAAGACCAGTCGCACACAAACACAAACTCACACACACACACACACTCACACTCGAGCACACACTCAAGTACACACTCAAGCACACACGCACACACACATACATACATGCATACATACATACATGCATACATGCATACACATACATACATACATACATACATACATCCATACATACATACATACATACATACATACACACACATACATACATACATACATACATACATACATACATACATGCATACATACATACATACATACATACATACATACATACATACATACATACCTACATACATACATACATACATACATACATACACACCTACACACATGCACACATACACACATACACACATACACACATACACACATACACACATACACACATACACACATACACATACACCCATACACACATACACACATACACACATACACACATACACACATACACACATACACACATACGCACATACACACATACACACATACACACGCACACGCACACGCACACACGCACACACGCACACACACGCACACACGCACACACGCACACACGCACACACGCACGCACGCACACACGCACACACGCACTCACGCACATACACATTCACACTCGCGCGCACGCACACTCACACAGGTACAAGGTTTACCCAGCTGCCTGCGGCAAGTCCCACCGCCGTGCCAGCCCAGCATCTTGGGTGGCGACTGTTTGGGGGAGGCGCACAGGAGGGCGCAACGTGTGACACCCCCTCCGCGTCATGATGGGGATTCTCTTCTCGTCTTCGTCGTTTTCCTCCCTTTCGCTCGTCCTCTCTTGGGGTCCTGTGGGGCAGTTGTGGGGGTTCCTTGGGCCTCGTTAGGCCGTCTTGGGGCCCTCCTGAGCCGTCTAAGAGCTGTCTTGGGCAGTCTTAGGCCCCTCCTGGCCGTCTGAGGGTCTGTTGCGTCCTTCGTGGGGTTGCCTTGAGCCCATCTCGGACAGTCGTCGAAAGGCCCTCGGCGCGGCCTTGCGTCCCTCCAGAAGATCTCTTCGGCCAGCTGGGGACCCCTTTTGGGGCCGCCCTGGGCCGTCCAGGGGCCCTCTTGGGCCCTTGGGGTGTCTTGAGGCCGTCTTGGAGCAGTGGTAGATCATTTGGGGGCCCTCTTGCGCCGTCTTGGAGTTAGTGCCGTCTGGAGCTGAAGAAAGTATGAAAAAGGTACAGCCGCACAAATCTGGCAACATGCGCGAACGTAATCGATGAGCTTGATTTCTCGGGCCCTACTGGAGGGCCTTTGGTCGCCCTCTTGGGTTGTCTTGGAGGCCGCTTAGGCCATCGTGAGGCCGTGTTTTGCCGTCTTGGAGCCTTGGGTCGTCTTGGGGAAGCTCGGGAGCGCAGATCAATCGCAATTACAGGGGATCGTGGCCGTGGGAGCGCGGACCCATCGTCGTCTACTTGGGAAGCAGGGCGGTGCATGCAACAATCCGTTACCAGGAGGGGGGGGGGGGCTTGGAAGATTACAGACACCCCACCAGACAACATTTGGCATTCTGCACGCCTTAACGTGCCACGGGGCGAAGAAGCGCACTGACCGTGACCAAGATGTCGCGAGATCGTATCAACACCGATCTTGGTCATGGTCCATGCTGGCCGCCGCCGATTCGCGAGGATGGCCCACGAATTGATGCGGACAGCAACCAAGATCGACAAGGCATTTCTGTGTTAGTTTGGTCTTGGTCGGGGTCCCCGTGCTCCCCCCCCAGCGGTGGCGGACATGTTTGGCAGTTTCTTGTCGTGCCAACGCGGCGACAACCCTGCTCTACAGCATCTTCTCGTGGTTCGACTGTTTGGGGGGTCGCATGACGAGTTGCGGAAGCCTTGTCGATGGAATTGCGCAGCGGCGGCACGCGGACCACGGGAAGCGCGCGCGTCGGGCCCACTGTTCAGAATTCTTCAGACAGCAACGGTATCTGAAATATTCGGGTGAATTCTGAAAGGTTCTCCCTCCCTCCCTCCCTCCCTTCTGGAAAGCTGCCGCCCCTGCTCGAGAGGTTTTGGGAGCTGTACCAGGTACAGCGAACCTCTCACGAGGGGCGGGCGGCCACGCGAGCTGGCCCGCGCCGCCGCTATGCGGCTCGGCGGCCTGGGCCTGGGCCGCGATTGCTGCTGGCGGCACGCCGCGGGGTTCCCGCTCGCCGCGGGCTCTCGAGCGGCCCAGCGGCCGCGGAGGAGAGCCAGCGTGGCACCGCCGTGATCGGCAGGCCCGCGCCAGTGCTCGCGTGTTGTTGCGAGTTGTCACTGCAGTGCAGCGGCTACGAGAGCACCACAGTTCGATGTCGTGGCAACATCGGGGAGGTAAAGGTGGCGGCATGGGCAAGGGCAAGGGCAAGCAGGTCGGGCCCGTTCCCCCCCCGCCGCCAGCGTCGGCCAGCGTTGTGGTGCGAGCAGTGCGGGGAGCCCAACATGATGCAGGATAGATTGTGCCGAGTGTGCTTCCCAATGCCTGCCCAGGCGCCGTGGGCCAGTGGCGGGCCACTGCAGCAGACGTCAGGCAGAAGACAGCAGACGCCTACCCCGCAGGCAAATCGGCGTGCCAGATCGTCGTGTGGAGTGGCTGGTCGAAGTCAGCACGGAGAACGTATCGATCGCGATCGACGTAGACGGCGTGGTCGTAGTCAGCAGGGAGAACGTACAGAGCCTGAGGCTGCGGGTGACACATCCGCGGCGGCCGGCGCCGACGCCTGAACCCGAGGCGGAGGCTGCGCCTGAACCTGAGGCTAGCAGAGGCCGCTCGACGTCTGGGCCCAGGCGGACAAGAGCCTCGCGTCGGTCAAGGTCGGCGGATGTCACGTTCGAGGAGAGTGAGGTCGAGGAGGGCACGGACACGGAGGACCCAGCGGCGCTCCAGCCACTCGGTGTGCTGCCAGCGCTCCCTGAGGAGGCCAAGGCGCACCCCTCCTGGCTGGAGCCGCCACGCAATGAGGAAACAGTGCAGGTGCACAGGAGGCATTTGCGGCGCCTCGCCATCGCCTCCGCCAAGAAATTGCGTGCAAGCCGGCAGCTTGGGCATCCTGGAAGCGTGATCGACGACCTGGCGCAGGAATATGCAGTCCTCATGACCATGATCATAGTGTGCAGATCGCCGACCGCCAGGCTCCAGCACCAGCGTGCCTTCGCGGAGCGGGCCGAGAAGAGGATGAGACGGGCACAGGATGACGCAGATGAGGCACAGGCTACCCTCGTGCATCAGACAGGCGTCCTGTCCCTGCGCTCCAGTGAGTTGGCACGGGCGCAGCTGCTGCTACGCCAATTGGAGACGCAGTACCCAGAGCCGAACAGCGATGCCACGATGTCTCCAACGGCAGCCGCCGATGGTGATACCGGCACAGCCACGCCGCCAGCAGGTGCGTCGCCGAGGGGGGGCCGCCCAGCAGACGCGATGACGTCGGGCTCGGTTGCCGCCATCGCCGAGCTCCAGCAGGGCCAGGTGAACATGGCGCAGCAGTTGGCGGGGCTGTCGTCGGCGCTTGGCGGGCTGCAGGCGGCGCTGGGGCAGCTCGCAGCGGGCGCGGCGCAGGCGCAGCAGCCTCCAGCAGTCGCGAC